ATAAATTAGTGTAGAGAATAGTTTAGATAATAGTATGTAATTTTTAAGAAGCCCGACACAGGCTTATAATCGTGACCGTTCGGTATGGATGAAAAATCCCATATTTAGTTTAGTTTTCATTTTTTTTTCTTTTTTTTATTCTCCCCTTACCCCTTTTTTTTCTTTTATTTGTTTTTTTTTACGTTTTCCCCTATACCTCTGTGTTTCATTTATATGTTTTTTTTTTTCTTTTTCTTTCACTTCTTTACGAGAAGATGTTATCAGATTGATAACATCCTATTGTAGAGCGGTAGTCGGACAAGCTCCCAGTAGAGTATTATCTTAATTGATCGTACCTCTCTGGTGCGGCAGGTCACCTGTAGGACTAGATAATTAGTTAGGTTAGTCGAGATAACCACAGGATGTCAGACCTATAGTTTTAATGATTATGCACTTCCACAAGTGGCACTTGATTAAATAAAGATACTAGCATGATCAGCCTAAGTGAAGCATAAAGGCATAACCTCACCTTAATATATATAAAAAAAAATTACAATACTATCAATACAAATTTTGAAGCTAATATTGACTTCAACATTAAAGCCAACATTGAAACCAATATTAAAACCAATATTAAAACTAATATTAACTTTAACATTAAAGCTAATGTTGAAGCTAATGTTAAAGCCAATATTGATTTTAATATTAAAGCCTATATTGAAGCCAATATTGACTTTAATGTTAAAACTAACATTAATTTCAATATTGAAGCCAATATTGACTTCAATATTGAAACTATTATTGATTTTAATATTGAAGCTAATGTTAATTTCAATATTAAAGCCAACATTGACTTTAATATTAAAACTAATATTAAAGCTAATATTGAAGCCAATATTAAATCTAATGTTGAAGCTAATATTAACTCCAATATTGAAATTAACATTAGTCTCAATATTAAAAAAATAATAAAAGAAGTATTAAAAAAGCAATAAAAAATGCATCGAAAAAGTAATGAAAGAAGAACTAAAAAAATAACTAAAAAAAAGCTAAAAAACAATGAAAGAAAAATTGAAAAAAACAACAAAAAAAATACTAAATAAAGTGATAAAAAAAGTACTAAAAAAGACAAAAAAAAAACACAAAAAAAGTAATAAAAAAAGCACCAAAAAAGTGATAAAAGAAGTATTGTAAAGTAACGAAAGAACTACTAAAAAAACAGCAAAAGAAATACCAAAAAGTAATGAAAAAAGTACAAAAAAAACAACAAAAGAAGTATTGAAAAAATAATAAAAAAAAATCAAAAAAGTGATGAAAAAAACAAAGAAAAAATGATAAAAAACTGAAAAAGTAAAGAAATAATCAAAAAAGTGATAAAAAAAATACTGAAAAAACAAAAAATACTAAAAAAGCAACAAAAGAAGCACTGAAAAAGTGATGAAAGAAGTATTATAAAGTAACAAAAAAACTACCAAAAAATAGTAAAAGAAGTATTGAAAAAGCAATAAAAAAAAATACCAAAAAAATGATAAAAAAGTATCAAAAAAGTGACAAAAGAAACAAAAAAAATAATAAAAAAAAACTGAAAAGCGAAGAAAAAATCGAAAAGCAATAAAAAAAATACTAAAAAAGCAAAAAATACTAAAAAAATAATAAAAAGGGTAAAAAAGCAATGAAAATACTAAAAAGTATGAAAAAAGTACCAAAAAAGCAACAAAAAAAGTATCGAAAAAGTAACAAAAAAATACTGATAAAGTACTAAAAAAGTAATAAAAAAGCACTAAAAAAGTAATAAAAAAAGTACTGAAAAAGCAGTAAAAGAAGTAATAAAAAAAACATCAAAAAATGATAAAATAATTAATTTTAGTATCTAAGTAAACAAATAAACAAAAAATTTAATTTTATTTAGAATTAGATCTTAAGAACCAGATCAAAAATAATTTGCAGCCTAGGTTTTTCTTAATATAAAGATATTTGTCTTGTAAAGTTTAACTCTATTATACCATATTTCTAATTTATTAACTATATTGCTTATTTTAGTATAGTAGAAGTTTGTTTTGATTAAATATTAATCTAGATCATCAGATTAATTATAATTGGTAAATAAATACTATATGTTATATAAAATCATAAAAAATTCTTTTTAAAATAATATTACAATTTCTAGTTGTTCATATAACTAGATGATCTTTTTTTTTACAAATATATTTTTCAAGTTTTAAAGTATTGTTTAAAACTTTGAGATCTCTATAGATCAAATAGGAAAAGATAATTCACTTATACATAAAAACAGGTAAAAATATAAATTTTTTATTAGTTATTTAAACTGAAAACTTAATAATTTTTATAGTTATTTAAATTATATATAATCCTTTTTCTTTTTACTAGTATTTTATTTAATATTTACTATACAAAAAAATCTAGAATAATTTTAAAACTATAGGATTTTGCTTAGAAAATAAAATATACAGATTGCAAAGTTATATTGTAAAATAAGATAATTAAAAATTTTTTTGCAAAACTATTTTCTTATATTAGTTTAAAATATACTTTATTACTAACTATTTAGTTTTAATAAGTACGAGCTTTTTAGTGACAAGAGAACTGAATTTATATATTTAGATTTGGTTGTTTTTCATATTAGGCTTAATAATTATAAATTTAAAATTTGGTTTATATATTTGTATTTTGCTAAATTATATAAATTTTTTGATAAGTTCATAATAAATATTGTATATCTACTTTACACATAACTATTTATTCTTTAAATATATGATAAAATATTTTATATATATTTGTAATTTATAAGTTTATATATAAAGTTTTTTTTTGTTTTCTAGTAATATTAGAGTATAAATTTTTAAAAAAATTATATAATTTAATTAGCCAATTATTATGGATTATTATAGATAGATCACTTAAATATTTGAGCAATTAAAACAAACTTCTACATGCTATTTATTCATATTTATATTTTTTATTTATATTTTTATTATCTTTTTGGACTAGTTACTTACTATATTATATATATATATTTTAGCTTAGATTAATTTGGTTTAAAACAAGTAATTTTTTATATAGTAAATCAATATATAGCAAAATTTTTTATATAACTTCTATTTTTTAAAGAAAATTATTAATAATTAAAAAAAAGAATATTTAAATTAAAAAAAAACTTTAAAAGAAATTAATAAAGAAATATAATATAAAATAATTAGAACAAAACAAAAATAAAATTAAAAAAAATATTAAATATAGAAAATATAATAAAAAACAAGATTTATAATAGATTTTAAAAAAGCTATAAAACAGATTCAAATACTCTTCCTGCTGATTACTTGTATATAAACAAACAGAAAGCAAAAACAGTTTAAACTCAATAAAGGCTATAAAAAATATCTTATAAGGTCCTAAGAAAAAAGAAAGAACAACAAGAACAACAGATACCTAGCTTAAAAACAAAAAAGATCAAATATATAATAAAAGAAATGAAGAAAAAAAACAAACCTTTCGAAGAAATTTTTAGCAAAAAGTAGGTAAACTATTTGATCTTAAATGCAGATCTTTGCTAGTAATATGAATACAAACAAAACAAACAAAATATATAAACAGAATTAGATAACAAAATACATATAGTAACAAATTTGTTTAGAAAGAGTAAATAAACAACAAAGCATATGTATCAATGGATGATTCTAGAAAGATTAAGATAGATAATCAAGTTATACAAAGAAATACTATATAAAAAATTTAGATATATATAATATAGATCTATTATAACTAGTTTTGCTACAAGCAGAACCAAAATTAAAATATATTAACTGTAAATTTCTTGCTAGCTGCTTACAAGAAGCCAAAGCAAGAGAACCAAATGATATAGATATTATAGCAGTAATTTGTTTAGCAAAGACACTAAATAAAAAAATACTCAAAATACTGTCATTATTTGGACAAATAAGAGAAGTAATACTAGTAGTCAAAGATAATATTCTAAACAAAATTTTTTAAAACTAGCAAGAAAAGGCCATGATGATTAGATTAAATCTAGGGGCTATTAATTAAATAGTAAGTATAAGCCTAAAAGAAATAACATGAGAAGAAAATAAGATAAAAATCATAAAAGAAACCCTTAAATAAAAACATCAATACTAGAAAAGAAGCAATATTCTGAAGAAGAAAAAAAAAACACTAGCACAAACAAAAAAATATTGATATAAATAGTATACAACACCAAATACAGGGTTTAGAATTAACAACTAAGCAGCAAAAATAGGTAATAGTCAAACAAGAATAGATTGTTTTGTCTTCAAATGAAGAAAATAAAAAAAAAAAACAAAAAAGAAATACAAAACAAATAAAGAAAAACAAAAAGATACAATTAGCATATAATAGAATAGAG